AAAAAAAAAAAAAAAAAAAAAAAATTTAAAAAAAAATAAGGAAAAAAAATAAGAGGAAAATATTATTTGTAACGCAACGCATTAAACTGCTTCACAGTTTAAAAATAATTTTTTTTTTGTTAATGATATTCATCCGTTTGGTGTTACTTTACTGCGACCATTTTTCGAAACAATTACGTTGTTCATCATGGATACTATACAATATTATAAGAAATATTATATTTTGCAAAAAATATAAGATAATCAAATAGATAGAAAAATTGACAAATATGTCTCTATTATTTAAAGATACAATAGCTTATTGAATAATGTTGGGATGAACAAAGGTTAATGCGGTTTTTGTTTTTTTTGAAAGAGCTACAATACCCCAAAAAAAAGAGATCTTTTTTTGTCTTTCCAGAATGAGTTTAACCGACTTATAATAATACATAAAATCATGTGGTCAAAGCTCCTTTTGTATAGATAAGGAGTGCAAACTCCACAAGTATTCCGGCTGGGGCTAATTACTGCATTGTGTGACAAATAGATCACTTGCCTGTAGAATTTTAGAAAGTTACTACGGCAACTTTTTGCTTTAACCTAAAATGGAAACAATAACTTTTTTTAAAAAAACATGAAAATCCAAATGAAAAATCTTAATTCCGGCCGAAATAATAGTTCGGCTAGAATTAATATCGGAGAATTCCTGGTAGTAGTTAACAAATTTATTAACATACTAGTATGGTCCATTAAAATTATGTGAAATGTGTATTTTCCATATGTGTCTACCAAGATCTGAAAGGCGAATCTTCCAAGGTTGTACTAAACATCTTATGGCCGAACTGAACATCCATCTCAAGACCAGCGGAAAAGAAGCATCAAAATCGCAATATGTATGTTTGAACTTGGTTGTTGGTGCGAATCTAACGTAGGCAAGTTTGAACTTTAGCTAGAAAAAAAACATCCCAGGACCCATGGACATTGGCTCAGTCGATTTTGCAATACTGTACACTTACTAGAACAGCTAAAGTGAAGGACGAGGATTTTTAAGGGTATTGCTCAGAATGTCGTACAGCTTGATTCAACTTTATCAAACAGTAAGCGTAATAAGGCGAGTGAGATTGAAAAAGAAGGCCTGTTCATGGATAAGAATTTTGTAATCGTCCCAGATCAGATGTGGAAAAGTGTATTTTGTGGAATGTTCGTTTGATGACCAATAAAGGCAAGATTCAAACGATTCAAACTATCAAAACCGATAATCGTTGTGCATGGCAATGAGGATATAGATACGAAAGGTATGGTTGAAAAGGTTCTAGGTCATATTGTTTGATTGTTGGATGAAGGTCAAAACCGGAGGAAGATTCACAAAGCGGTGAACAATCGAGGGTAATAAAAAAAGGTCAAGTCATTGAATAATCGAATATAGAGCTTAGGATAGGGAAGTTTCATCATGTATCCGAAACATGTAATCTTTTTATAGTAACATAATATATCACGAGAAAGTCCCGATTCATGTAATGTCTTTTTTATCTTTACTGTGTTGTATAAACAATAAAAAACTTTACAATACTATAGATCGATCCTACAAGAGTTTTGTGCGGGTAATTGATAATAATTTTTGGAGTTGGCAACTATCGATCACGGGATCACGTGACTTTTTGTCATGCAACTTGTAAAAAATTCTATCTCGACATCACGTAGTGAAAAAGTTCCGGCAAATTTATTTCATCTTTGAATTAAATGACTTACGCGGGTTAATCCGGTGTTCCTGAATTGGATGTCGTACAAATTTTATGGATCGTGATGTGGAATGGGCCAGATCTCTCTCAGAATAAACGGTGGATTTTTGTTATTCCATTGACATTAGTTTGAGGTGTACATTCAATATTATGTGAATTATTATTTTCTCATTTTCCTACTTAAAGATTTACGCGTATTAAAAGTTTTTTTATAATGATTTCGAGCGAATTTATTAATCAGATTTCTGTGATGTGATCGAATTGACGTGATTTTCAATTCTTGGGCCGCTACAAATCATATAAGAAGGTGAAGGCTCTGGTTAGCGAATCATTTTATCTATCTTGTGCAAGTGAAGAAAAAAATCTCACAAAATATCGAACTTACTTTTTGCGTCATCAATCCAAACTTTTGCTAATCGATGTTATAAAAAAATAAACCCTCGAAGCCAGGTCACATAGCCAAAATACATTGTTATCTATATTTCTGAACATGAAAAAAAAAAATGTTGACAGGATGTTTCAACATAATATGGACATATTACTGTCCTTGTTGTATATGGATGCCAGCATGAGTATATAAGCGCACTTACCTGATTTTTGTTACATACATCGAAGTCTGGCTGTGTATATTTTATCTTGCATAGCAATTTCATTCTTGATATTTGGAGCGTACAATACAAAATCGAAGCAAAAACTTACCTTTTGTTGTAACGCATCAACAATTCTAGATCTCTTCTTCGAAAAAATCACGTACGACTGCTCGTTGAGGTATCTGCCGATGAATCGTCACATAGTACAAAGCGAATGAAATGTGAAAATGAATTGTAGCGGTAAGTATGAATTAGATATATTACATTGATCTCCAGACTTTTCTATAGTTTGTTATCTTGGAGACGTTCTCTTGCAAAAATAATATTTTTCATGATCTGTGTGGGTGGGAGTGCAACAAATAATGATAGATTATTTCGAAAATTCAGTGTTTGTAAATGGGCTTATGAGAGTTTCGTAGTTAGTAATATACAGTAGATAGAAACAAGTTAGCTATAAAAATTTTATGAAGTGGAGAAATAAAAGATGATGGGAGTGTCATAGTTAACCCTCCTTGTTTGATAAAGAAATTTTTTAGTAGGAAAATTCCAATGTATACCACACTTAATTCCAGCCGAATGTCATAATTCTCAGCCATTTCGGGACATTTTTTCGTGGTTACGCTAGGTAGTCACAAAAAAATAATGTTGAAAACTTAATTTTTAATAAATCATTATACAAATAAAACAAATATAAAAATCTTACTTTCAAATTAAAGCGTAAATAGTTATATAAGCATATTTTTTTTAATTGTTAAACAATTTTAAAAAGTTTGATCGTGACTTATTAATGTTTTTTTTTCCTACGCACAATTTAAAAACCAACTACAAAATTCAGACCAATTACAAAATTCAGTTTTAATTTATGAGTTAAATTTTGATATTATTTATCAAAAGAAATTCGAAATCATATAAAAATTATAATTGACCTATAATTGTTGTCCTTAGAATTGATAATAATATCAACGAAAAATAATTATTTTTTTAAGTTGGTAACACTCACTTCGATATTATGATTATTATTTTGTGTAAGAAATTTTATGTTATTATGAAAGGCGAAAAAGAAGTGACAGAAACGGTTAACTTTTAAAGTGCCTCCTTAATGCTCTGGTAAATATACTAATTAATTACTGTATAGCACTGACTCATTTTGGCGTACCCTATATATAATGACGTCATCATCTAAAAATCTACTATAATAGTACAGTCTATCCTACGCGTTGTTTTATAGCTTTTACAGTATCTCTAATGTTTGATTATCAGTGTATTAATATCGATAATCGATAATATCGATAGGCGCAATCACAAAATTACGTCACAGAGTCTACAGAGTCTCCAATTCATTATTAGTCATGTTATGTGTAACTTTTTTTTCGCGTAAATAGATTTTTTACAAATATATATATACCCCAACTTTCCTCTAAAAAAAAAAAATTTGCCTTCTTTTTCCATATTATCCTCCGTTTACAAGAAAACTTCGATTATATTTATGCAACTCCTCCTTACTTACTCTTTATTACCTATCTTCCTCCTATACCTATTTCGATCTGAAAGTCTCCTAAGAGAAGTTCACATTGAATAGGAGTAGAGAAGACCTAAAAAAAAGAAAAAGGAAGTCTTAAAGAAAAAAGAAAACATGAAAGAGAAGACAAGGAAAGTGAAAATTTAAAGAAAAGAGAAGACAAAAAGAGAAGACATGAAAGAAAAGACATGTCTGAGTGCAAAGTGGCTTAAGAGACTTTAAAAGAGGTGTGTTTTTTTTTTATTTTGCAAAGTGAGTAAACTCCTAAGCAAAGTAAAGAACGGATAACTCATTGAGTCGGGGAGTTCCTATGTTTGTCTTAGGAGATTACTGGAATTGTTTGCATGGGTTGGTGAAGAGTGAATTAAATTTTTATTTTTCAAAGTGGGTAACTCCTAAGCAAAGTAAAGAACGGATAACTCATTGAGTCGGGGAGTTCCTATGTTTGTCTTAGGAGAATTATCTGCTTTTCTATTATTCTTTTATTTTTTTTATATTTTTGTTTTTTTTTATACTTTTATTTTTTTTTTATACTTTTCTTTTTTTTTATACTTTTATTTTTTTATTCTTTTATTTTTTTTTTATTTTTTCTTTACTTTTTTTTATTCTTTTTTTTTAATTCACTTATTAACCAACTTAAGCAAACATTCTAACTTTGTTATTGGTAAAGTCTGCTGGTTCTTAAAAAAAAATTTGGCACACTATTAACAATTTCTTTTTTCTTATAATAGGTAAATACTGAAATTTACAACATTTGGAAATTTTTTAAAATTATACCTAATTTTATTAGAGATACAGTATGTTAATGTGATTTATATAATTTTTTGTTAAAATTTTGCTAATTTACCAGTAACTCCTTTGACAAATATTCATACACATTCAATATTTCTTGCAATTATCTAATAGTAATTAATTTAAAACTTCTAGAATTGTTTTTTACAATTAAGCCATAATGTTCATTTGCATATTTCTTTATTCACAATACATTTATATAATGGTATTTAGAATACATATGCATTATAAACTCATTACTACTGGCAAATTTGACTATGTATAAATTGCGATTTTATTTATTTAATCTAATTTTTAAGTATTTCAGCTATTTTCAATTTTTCATGGCATTTCCTTAAGAATGATTAAGAATGATCAATAAAATACACACATCTACATCAAATGTGGCTGATTTGCACTTTATTTCACAAAATTTGTTAGTTTTTAAAGGCTAAAACTTATAATGGTGTTCAATTTTGTTTTATAAAGATTCTAACAGATAATTTTCAGTTAGATTTTTTGAAATACTAATATTTTTTTAAAAAAATTTTTGAATTGGTCAATTGTTACTATAAGGTGCTAGTTGAGCATAGATGTTGCACACTGTATTTATTTCAATTTATGGAATATTGCAATATTGCACAATCAATTGGCAAAATCAATGACTTTACCCAATTAGGTAAATCCAATATGTTGCATAACCAACAAAATTTATCTTCATTGCATTAAATTTTTTTTTTTAAAAAAAATAGTATATTATTCTATTAGCTGTTAGTACTATTACTTGTTGTATAATAAAAAACAAAATAATAAGATCTTTAAAATTAATTTTAAATCTTAACATATTCAATAATTTGCCTTTTTACAAACTAAAATCAGAATTTTGTAAAGTACGTAGATAATCTTATAAGTTATAACAGTTCTTCACCACTTTACCAACTAGTATTATATTTATTTAGAAATACATCAATAAAATTGTGTATGTTAGCTTGTTTTGCAACAGTTTCAATTTCATCCTATGTGGCACCATTACCAATAGTTAAATCAAATAAATTGGTTCTTTTTCTGATCAATTATTTATCACTACTACTTATGCCATGGTTTTATTAATGATGCGTTCATTATGATATTTTTACCTGTGATCCTATTTTTGGAGTTGGAAATCATTTATAATATTAGTGACAAGATATTTAGTTTCTGTAAAGTATCTTACCTTACAGGCGTATTTGCCTGCTAAAATCCAGGTATTATCTGAAAATTTAGCATGTGATACAAATTGTAACAAAATATACATTTTTAGATAGCTCAATTTTATGAACTTTTCGCCCATTTGAAAGGTTAGCGTAGTCCTAGCTTTTTGAATAGATAGTCCGAAGGGTGAGGTCCCGTAGGGGATTAACGTCCAAAATTCTATACACGTATATTAGTAGTAGAACATGTAAATGTTGTCTTTCTTCTTTTATTTGTAATAGTTTTGGTGTACCACTCTTCTAGTAATAAAATAAATAAATAAATAAATTTTATGAACTTTTCGCGTAAAAGATAGTTTTTTATAAATAGTTATAAATAAGAAAAGTTTTTTATGATATGTTAAAGTAATTCCATTATTTATAATTTTCTATTATTTGTAATTTTTTAAATTTTATTTAGACCTTTCAAGTTCAATTTTATTAGTACAGTTGCATCATGATTAATAATCTATTTATACAGTTGTTGCACCCACGTCTCCATAATGCTGTAACTGCACCAATAATGATTAATATTAATGGAGTAAAAAAGAAAATTTTCTTTTAAAGTGATAATTTATTTATCTGCTAAAATAATAGTAAAGACAACAATCAACAATAAGTGTGTTATATATAATTTTTAATTTGTTGTTTAATAATGTGTTTAAAAAAATTTCCTCTCCTTTTATCAAAGTGTTTATATAAGAAAATTTTCTAGAATTATTTCATAAATCAATGAAGGCGAAGTAAAGGAGGTATACAAGAGTATTTTGCACATTTCTCTATATTAAGCCATGGCCATGTTGAAATTTACAATTGAAGAGCAGAAGAAAATGTGAGATTTTGATGTTAATTATTTTAGCCACAATTATCTGTATAATTGTTGTTTTATCAATGAGAATGAGGCAAAAGAGATGTATGAGAGTATTTTTGCAACTTTTTTTTTGCGTGCCACAATTGGAACAAACATTCCATTTTGAATTAATAATGTGGAAATAGATGGTTCTATTTTTTTTCTTAAAAAAAAAGAATAAATAAATAAATATAAATATATTTGTTCAAAATGGAAATTAAGATCAGGAAAGTATAACTCACTTCTTTTATCTGATTGTTCACTTCACAGCCACATCAACAGAAAATGGTTTCATGATTATTAAAAAATAAAAAGGTTATTGACATTTTATAAAAAATTAAATGAAAAAATTTATAATGAGAAAAATTTTAATTAAAGTGAGATCAATTACAAAAGTTTTGAATTATTTATTTCAAAAATAATGCAATATTTCACAAAGTTTTCAGAATTCTTCTTCTTTATGCTAACTAAAAATAAAAAAAAAACCAAGCAAAAGAAAATAGGATTCAAACAATAAAATATACTATATTTATACTCGCTGATGGCAATGTGATATGCTATAAAACATTTTTACTATTTCTATATAAATGGCAGGTGATAAGTAATAGTTATTTCACGAGAGACTGTAGATATCAATGATTTTCATGGCACAGCTGTGAAAATCATGAATAAAAGAATTATATCACAAGAAAACTACAAGTTGACAGCAGACTTAATAATTTTATAAATAAAATAAAATTCAATTTATAGACTTATTTCTTTTACCATCAAGTTAATTTTTCTACATTTTAAATCATATTCAGTTCTTATGGAGAATATGGATTTAATGGATTTGATTTTTGAATTTTCATAAATAATGATTTTAGTCTGCTTTAAACTGGTACTATCCTATGTGTTTCATGTTGTCATAACTTTAATTTCAAAATTGTTAGTTTTAGTTCAAATAGAACACTACATTAATGATCTAATGTTGCATGATATGTATAATTAACAATAAAAAAAAATTTATAAAAATTTGTCTGCTCAATTACAAACTGATTTTATTTATGTAAAAAGAAAAAAAGGTTTACACATACTCTATAATCAGTGTTGAACAAAACTATTATTTAACATTATCAATAATAGTATAAAAAATAAATAAAAAAAGTTTAATAACAAATTGTTTAATAGATAAAAGTTTAGTTGTCAATCCTTTCTAGTAGTATTTATTCTAGTTAATTTTTCATATCTAATCTATAAAATTTCAATAAATTTCCGTTAATATAGAAGATGAAAACAATAGAATTTAAATGAATATGACTTACTCTGTAAAATCAAATGCTTCAAGGTCTTCTGATATATAGTGATTAAGTACTTGAGATTTATAACTAGTTTGTGGACTAGTAGTTAATTGATCATCTTCCCTGTGACCTTTATCAAAGAGATATTTTTCTGCTTTTTCAAGTTCATCCATCAAAGTTAACCTATTCGTATCATATAAAATAGTGCCAATTGATTCAACATTCGGTCTATTCTCTGGATTTTGATCCCAGCACTTTTTCATTAGGTCAATATACCAATTTGATTTTAACTCAGGTATTTCGAGTATTTCGGGTCTAATTCCATTGCATATACTTAATACTAGTTGATGATCATGTGCACGATTTTCAAAAGGTTGTCTACCAGTTATTATAAAATACATAACCATACCAAAACTATATACATCTGCTGCTTGAGTGTAAGGTTTATCTCTTAATACTTCAGGAGCTACATAAGGCATAACTCCGTAAATTTTTGTTTTATCTGTATTACTAGCTTCTCCACATAATCCCATGTCTGAAATATATGCAGCCACAGGAAGATTAATATCAGTAGATAAATGATATCTATTGTTATTAGGTAAAGTCAAATTATGATCATTATTAATTAATATATTTCCTATATGAAAATCACGATGAACCATCTTCATTTGATGAATTTCTTTAAGACCATTAAAAATATTACACAATACTTCTAATTTAGCACTATAATTAATATTTTCGGAGTAATAACGTATCCAATTATTAAAATTTCCACATTTTGCATATTGAAGTACCATGATATAATTTTTTGTATCAGGATCTTGAGATATTCCGTATATTTTAATAATAGTGCTATGAGAATAACTTTTGATCGAATATGTTTTAACCTAATTAAAAATAATGTAAAAAATTTAATATAACTTAAAATCATTTAAATTTATATAAAAATTACATACCTCATTTATAAATTCATTAGTAATGTTTTGAGAGTTATCTAAAGACTTAAGTGCAACTTCTTTAAAATATTCTCTTTCATATTTCTTTTTATGCCTATCATATGTTAATGGACCATCCTTCCATATTGCTGAATACACTGTAGCAAAACCACCTTTATCTATTTTTTCAACACGATAAAACTGAGTGTATGGTATCCATTCAAGTATTATATCATCATATCTATTGATCTTTAGCTGTATTTCTTGAATAAAATCATCAATTTTTTCATTTTCACTGGTCCAGTTTATAAAATTATTTTTTAAACAATTTATCTGGCATGGTTTACACCATTTATTATATAAATCTATATAATGATCACCACATTTTACACAATATTGGTCTTGGAGAACCATAATATAATTTTTTGTATCAGGATTTTGAGATATTCCATATATACCAATTCCATCGGATGGATTAGTTGAATAATCTTTAACCTAGGTTTAATAAGATTAATTTTAATTATAAAATGATTTGTTTAATTAAATTGTCAAACTTGACGTTTTTAAATTAAAAAAATAGAATAAAAGCTTTCTTACCTTATTAAGAAACTCATCAATCATATTATATGAGTTACTGTCTAAAGGTTTTAATGTAATTAATGCAACTTCTTTATTAGATATTCTTGTCCATTCCTTTTTATAATCATCATAGTTTAGTGGGCCATTATTCCATATTGCTGAATATTTTGTAAAAACATCATCATTACCATCATTATCATATTCCATCTTTTTAATATCAATTAACTGATTATATGGTATCCATTCAACTATAATATCATAATGATTACTAATATTTAATTGCATTTCTTGAATAAAAATATTAATCTCTTCATTTCCACTAGTCCAGTTTGTAAATTTATTTTTTAAATGAGTCATATGACATGATTTGCACCAATTGTAATTTAAATCTGCATATTGTTCACCACATTCTTCACATTGTTCATCTTGACAAACTATAATATAATCTTTTGTATTTGGATTTTGAGATATTCCATATATGTAATTTAATCGAATATAATTTTTAACCTATTAAATATAAATAAATTATAAATTAATTATGATAGTAATGAGTCATTTAAATTAATCTTACAAATAATTTTCAATACCTCATTAAGGAATTCATTAATATCTAATGATAAGCATTTTAATGTAACTTTTTTGTTAGATTCTCTTATACGTTTTTTCTTAAATTCTAATGGCCCATTATTCCATATTGCTGTATATATTTCTATTCCAACTTCTTTAATATTAATAAATTGATCGTATGGTATCCATTCAATTATTGTTCTATCAAAAATATCAATTGCTAATTGCATTCCCTGAATGAAAATATCAATTTCTTTATTTCCGCTGGACCAGTTTGTAAAATCATCTTTTAAATAATTTATGTAACATGGTTTACACCATTTAGTATACATATCTGTATATTGTTCACCACATTCTCCACAATATTCATCTTGACAAACTATAATATAGTCTTTTGTATTTGGATTTTGAGATATTCCATATATTACATTATTAATTATATAATTTTTGATCTAATAAATATAATAAGATTATTAAATTAAAGTATTTAAAATAACTTTTAAATAAACTTCATACCTCTTTAAGAAATTCATTAATATCTAACGCTAAGCATTTTAATGTGACTTTACTATTAGATTCTCTTACCCATTTCCTTTCATCATTATCATAATATAGTGGCCCACTATTCCATAATGCTGAATATATAATAGCAACATTACTATCACCCTTTTTTATTTCTTTAATATCAATTAACTGATTGAATGGTACCCATTCAACTACTGTTTGACCATAATAGTCAGTTGCTAATTGCATTTTCTGTATCATATTATTGATTTTTTCATCTTCACTAGTCCAGTTTGTGAAATTATTTATTAAATAATTTATGTGACATGGCTTACACCAATTAAATATATCTGTATATTCTTTACCGCAATTTTCACAATATCCATCTTGACAAATTAAAATATAAACTTTTGTATCTGGATTTTGAGATATTCCATATATTTTATTACTAATTGAATAATTTTTAGCCTAATAAATATAAATAAGATTATTATATTAAAGTATTTAAATTAGATTTTAAACAGATTTCATACCTCATTAAGAAATTCATCAACATCTAATGTTAGATATTTTAATATAACTCTTTTATTAGATTCTCTTATCCATTCCTTTTTATTATTATCATAATTTAATGGCCCATTATTCCATAAAGTTGAATACATAGTAGCGACATTATCATCATCATTTCTTATTTTTATAATATCAATAAATTGATTATATGGTACCCATTCGACCACTATATCACTATAATAAATAATTTTTAATTGCATTTCTTGAATAAAAATATCAATTTTTTCATTTCCGCTGGTCCAATTTGTAAAATTATTTTTTAAATAATTTATGTGACATGGTTTACACCATTTAATATATATATCCATATATTTTTCACCACACTTTTCACACTGGTTGCTTTGAGACGACATTATTTTTTATTTCGATTTTAACTTTTTTTCATTAAAAAAAAATAAAATAAAACAAAATGAACCGAAGAAATGATAAGCTGCATTTTATATAATTTGCACTATACAATCGCCGATCTTGCCATAATGATATGTATGATTTTCCAAGCGAACAGTACATAAAAAGGCAACAAAACCAAAATAATGTGTAGATCCTTTCTTTTTTGCTAATTCCAGGCAGCATTACGTAATTCTGGCCCTGAAGAGATAGAGCTAATGCCTAATAGTAAGCTAGAGCAGTGAGGAGCTTAATAAATAGTCATTTGTTTTCTTCATTTTTTTTTCTTTAGGTTCGGTCAGGGATCTACATATGATACAGAAAGTTACTCGGAATTTTTACCTTCTTTTTTTTTAGCAATAATTGATTACAGTTTATCTTTCAATTAATACTTTAATTTTATTTTTTCAGAGAGAGAGAGAAGGAGAAGGAAAGAAGGAAAGAGGGAAGGGACAGGGACGAGAGAAAGGAAGGGAGAAAGAAAATTAAACCTAGTTGTTAAAGCTTACTGTCATATTTTACAGTATCTTTGAGCGTAACTACTTTTGACATTATTAAATTATTATATTTTTAAATTTTAAGAAATGTCATTAAATACCAAAATTGGTTTAAAAATAAAATTTCATGTTATTAAGAAAATGATGTTAAAATAAATGGAAATTTTAATAATTTATTGTTTTGTCATAATAATTATTTTTTTTATTTACAAGCAGATTGAAATTTTTTATAATTATTAATTACTTTAATGATGAATTATATTATAACAATTCATTTGTTAATACGAATTTCCTTTATATAATAATGGTAAAACATAGAATTTAAAACAACTAAACTAATCGGATAATATATTTTTAATCTAATAATTTTACCGCGATTCTAATTATCATAATTTTTAATACACGTTGTTACTGATAATGATAATATAACTTATGATTAATAAGAAATAGACTTTCAGTATACTTTTTTATTGTCCGAGATGTAAGTATAGTAAGTACAGTACACACTTCAACTCCAAACTAGGAAAGATTAAATTCTAGGATCTTGTGTAACTATTGAAATGTCATTTTTGTTATGTATATCACGCGTGTTTAATCTATTTAAGCTTTCAAGTACTCAAAGGGCTGAGCTTATTTTTCGGTAATGTATACATACGATAAAAACTAAATACAAAAACCATTGCTAAACAAGTTAATTAAATGGTTTATAGGGAGTAAATTATAATATCATATTAACAATGTATTATTATTATTATTATAAACCAAAATTATACATATTAGTCATCATTAAATCAATTAATATTTGTTTAGGTTAAATAACATTGTTGTCTGACTTTAACTAGAAAATTTATATAAAAGGCCTTTCCACCACAAATTTTTTTTAAAAAAATTCTCTCTTCCTCTCTCCACAGCTGAGTAGCCAAAAGACTATCAATTTCTCCTTCTCTCCAGCGAAGTAAACAAAAAAAAGCTATTCTTTATTTTATTCCCACTTTATATTTCCTAAGTAAAAGCTTTATTTTTAGCAATGAGCCAATGACAACAAAGCTTTGTTTGCAGAAGTAGACATAACCTAGGCGAAGAGAGTGGGTTTGGAGCGTGGGTTCGTGTGTATAGGTGGTGGTGTTTTAACTTCTTTTTTTTTCATCTTCTTTTTTTTAGGTCTATCTTCTCTCTTTCAAGGTCTTCTCTTTATTAGGCCTTCTCTTAAGTGAGTTAAGTCCCTTTTTTTGCATCTTTCTTTAGGTACATGGTTCATGGTTGTGTGTGGTTTGGGAGTGTGGGTTGGAGTGTAGGTGGTGGTGTTTTAACTTCTTTTTTTTTTCTTCTTTTTTTTAGGTCTATCTTCTCTCCATCAAGTCTTCTCTTTATTAGGCCTTCTCTTAGGTCCTTTCTTTACATCTTCCTTTAGGTATGTGAGTTGGAAGTGTGGATTGGGAATGTGGATTTGTGTGTTGTG